GCCTTGGGGATAAAGCCTAAGTCTGGAGTTCTGGCCCCCACCTGCCTCAGCAGCCCCGTCCCTATGCCTGTCCCGAAACTACTTGTCCCACTGCATCTGGACTCTCCGAACCTGCAGGCCCCAGAAGACTCCGGCCTGGGCAAATGAGAGGGCGGTCTTGGGCACAAGTCTCCAGGCACAGCTCAGCTCCTCACGAGCTGTGTGGCCTTGAAGTCATCATGCCTCTCTGAGCCTGCGTGTGCGTGTGTGTGTGTGTGCGTGTGTGTGTGCGTGTGCGTGTGTGCGCGTGCGTGTGTGTGCGTGTGCGTGTGCGTGTGTGCGCGTGTGTGCGTGTCCGTGTGTGCGTGTGCGTGTGCGTGTGCGTGTGTGTGTGTGTGCGTGCGTGTGTGTGTGCGTGTGTGTGTGTGCGTGCGTGTGTGTGTGTGCGCGCGCACGCGCTCAGGCGTGTGTGACTCTGCAACCCCATGGACTGTAGCCGGCCAGGCTCCTCCAGGACAGGAGCCTGGACAATGTAGCCCCCTCTGTCCATGGGATTCTCCAGGCAAGAACACTGGAGTGGGTTGCTATTCCCTTCTCCAGGCAATCTTCCCAATCCAGGAATCGAACCCACTTCTCAGTTTCCTCTTCTGCAAATTGCAGCTATTAACCCTCACCCCACACTGTTATTGAGAGGCTCGAACAAAACTCAGGCCGGCTGCTCAGTGGCCAGCGCACAGGGACACACCCCCAAACACTCACGGCGCTGACCAGGTGCCGGACACCACACTAAGCGCCCCAAGTGTTTTCACTCCTCCGTCCTCAAAACAGCCCTGGCACACGTAACCATGAGGCTCACTTTGCAGATGAGGAAACCCAGTCCCTGAGAGCTCTGGCCACACCCACCCTCCTCAGGGGTCTATTAATTTCCTTGTTAATTTCCAGTGTGCATTTACTTGGAATCAGGCTGATCTCATGGTAACCAGAGGGGCGCTGCTGAAGAGCCTGAGGGCTAGTTCCAACGGCTAGCCCTCCACTGCTTGGCTGCATGCGCCTTGAGCTGGTCACCAAATAGCTCCAAGCCTCAGTTTCTCCATCTGTAAACTGGGGATGTTAATAGCCCCCAGCTCATAGGGCAGTTGTGAGAATGCTGTGTTACACTTGTGTCTGGTTCTTTGGTGGCGGGGGTAGGAGTGTTGTTTGTTTTGTCATGTGGGATCTCAGTTCCCCGACCAGGGATTGAATCCATGCCCTCTACATTGGGAGCACGGAGTCTTGACCACTGGACCACCAGGGAAGTCTCTGCTGCTGCTGCTGCTAAGTGGCTTCAGTCATGTCCGACTCTGTGCGACCCCATAGACGGCAGCCCACCAGGCTCCCCTGTCCCTGGGATTCTCCAGGCAAGAACACTGGAGTGGGTTCCCATTTCTTTCTCCAATGCATGAAAGTGAAAAGTGAAAGTGAAGTCGCTCAGCCGTGTCCGACTCTTAGCAACCCCATGGGCCACAGCCTACCAGGCTGCTCCATCTATGGGATTTTCCAGGCAAGAGTACTGGAGTGGGGTGCCATTGCCTTCTCCGAGGGAAGTCTCTACACCTGTGTTAATAGGTGTTGAGTGCCTGGAATAGGGCGTGGCACAGAATAAGTACTCAGAAAGAGTTAGGTTAGAGGCTTTATCCTTGTTATGATTATACTCATGCACACAGCCCTGAAAACCCCTCAAGTGACTTCATGGAGCATGAGTGTATGTTGCTTTGTCCTGCTGCTTACTGTCTATGTAGCTTCCGGCAAGTCACTTTACTGTGATTCTCAGTTTCCCCATTTGCTAAATGGGCTGAAGGAGAGCTGCTTCACAGGTAGCTGTGAGGATTAAATGGGCTCGTGAATGTCAAAGGCTTAACACAGTGCCCAGCTTAGCAGGTGCTCAATAAACAGTGGTTAGTGAGGCAGGAACAAGGAAGACAGTCTCCTTGATCGACTAAGGAGGAAACTGTAGGGAGTTCAACAGTCGCTCAGTAGTGTCTGACTCTTTGCGACCCCATGGACTGCAACACGCCAGGCCTCCCTGTCCATTAACAACTCCCGGAGCTTGCTCAAACTCATGTCCATTGAGTTCATCCAATCATCTCATCCTCTGTCATCCCCTTCTCCTCCTGCCTTCAATCTTTCCCAGTATCAGGGTATTTTCCAATGAGTCAGTTCTTCACATCAGGTGGCCAAAGTATTGGAGTTTCAGCTTCAGCATCAGTCCTTCCAATGAATATTCAGGACTGATTTCCTTTAGGATGGACTGGTTGGATCTCCTTGCAAGGGGCCAGGTCTCTAATCTTCCCAAGAAGCCTGCTGCCCCCTGGTGGGACAAGAAGCTGAGTTGAGGGACAGACGGCTTCCCTTGGGGGTGGGGGGTAGGGCGGATGCAGAAAGATCAGAGGACTTCAGGGATACCTGCTCCAGAGTCCAAGTCCTTGTTGTGGGTGATGCCACCCCTTCTAGGATGTCTCGGGCCCATTTTTCACAGCTCCTCGAGGTGCTGGAAGGAAGCCTGGACCTGTTCAGGCCCACGCTGGCCCCTCCTGGGCTGATGCAACTCCAGGACCAGGGTCAACCAGGAAGAACAGGCAGGGAGCATTTGAGCTGCAAGCTCTCCAGGATCTTCCAGCTGTGCCAACGGTGCAGAGGAGAAACCAGGTCCAGAGAGGGGGGCCACCTGCCCAAGGTTGCCCCAGCCTGGTTGGAACCAGGCTGATCTCATGGTAACCAGAGCTGCACTGGTGAAGAGCCTGAGCCACCAGTTTCAAGAGTCAGCCCTCCACTGCCTGGCTACATGAGCCATGAGCAGATCACTGAGCAGCTCCAAGCCTCAGTTTCTCCATGTATAAACTGGGGATATTAATAGCCTGCAGCTCATAGGGCAGTCAGTTTGCAGCAGGCCAGAGAGCAGGCCCTGAGTCTTCTGACTGAGAGACTGCTCCCTCCACCAGGGGGACGAAGGGGCGGAGACAGAGCAGGAAACAGGCGCTGCATCTCCAAGTGCTCATCCTCCAGGACCCCCTACCTGTCCCTGGCCTACGCTCCTGTCAGTGTGGCCAGAGCCCCTGCAAAGCGGGGTTTGGGTGGGAGGAGAAGAGTCAGCCTCAGCCTCCTGTGAGAATTGCCAAGATGGTTGAGACAGGGCATCCGCTTGTCATGGACCTGCCCAGGAGCCAGGAGAGACTACAGGAGGTGCTCCCCCAACCCCGATGAGTCCTCAGCCCCTCCCGGGACCATGAAGCCCTCAGGCCCAGAGAGCTGAGGGGGCTCCCCACTCCGGCCACGCTGTAGGGAAGAACCAGGCCAGGACTCCTGGATGAACCCTGCTCCGGGAGCAGCAGACCTGGGTTCAGACCCCAGCTCCCCCTGGATGGGCTGTGTGATCTCAGGAAGCCTTGTGCGGCTCTGAGCTTCGGGAGCTGAACCTGTTGGTGGGACTAATACAGCCCTCTCGTCAACAGTCAGCTCAGGACACACGTGCGTGAAGGGTCCGGGGCCACGGCCAACACGACGTAGGTGCTTTGTGCAGGTTCGTTCCATTTAAGAAGAAGGTAACTAACACAGGGGGAGGGGGGGGCGGTGCTCTGTGAAAGAAGGAATCAAGGAAAGCGCTGCGAGCTTGACTTCACTATGACCCCGGGGCAGCTTCCAACCCTCTCCAGACCTCAGTTTTCACATCTGTAAAATGAGGGAACGGGACTAAATTATTTCTAAGGGTCCTTCTAGCTCCAAACACAACCTCCTGTGACTTCTTGTCTCGTTCTTCTAAGTACCCTCCATGAGGGTGCTAGCAGCACTGCAGGGAGGGATGGGTGAAGTTCCCATAACATGCAATTAACATGTTAACATGCACGGTTCAGTGATGTCATAGTGCGGTCACAATGTGGGCGCTTACCACCTCTGCCCACTGCCAAACATGTTCATCACCCCAGAAGACCCCAAACCCAGGATTGTCCGTGCGCCCTCACCCTACCCTTGGCAACCGCAATCTATTTACTGTCTCTGTCACCTTATCTATTCCATACAGTTGGCATCCTCCCTTAACTTAGCACAGATTTGAGGTTTATCTTCATCATAGCCTATGACAGTGCTTCATTCTCTTTTATGCCTAAGTAATATTCTGTTATATGTGAATGCCACAATTTGTTTATTCATTCATCTGTTGATAGACATTCATCTGTTGATAGACTCAGCACAGCACACCTTTTGGCTGTTGTGAATAGTACTGCTGTAAACATTCATATACAAATATTTGCTTGAATAGCTGCTTTCAGTTCTCTGGGCTATGTGATTAAGAGTGGAATAGCTGGATCATAGGGTAATTCTATGTTTAACTTTTTAAGGAGCCACCAAACTTTTCCAGAGTAGCTATGAATTGATTGATTGATTTTTAATTTTTCTTTTTCTTTTTTTTTTAAATTAATTTATTTATTTTAATTGAAGGCCAATCACTTTACAGTACTGTGGTGGTTTTTGCCATACATTGACATGAATGATTTTATTTTTATATATTTATTTTTGGCGGTCAGTTTTATTCATTGGTATATCCCTCCACCTAGGAGGCACTCAATGTAAATTTCTTGAAGGAACGAATGAATCTCCCACCTTCTCTGCTTCCCTGTTCTGGAGCCCCATAACCATGTCTAGGGACTCCATAGACCGTAAGCTTTGAGAGAGAATGAATCACATTAGGTCCAACCCACCCGGGGCCAGATCAGAGAAGGGGCCCAGCGGCTCTGTCTTGACCTGACGTGGCTGAGCTTCTGCGGGTGTGGCTGGAGTGGCTGGCATCCGTAACCTGAAGGTGCCCCCTGAGAGCAGCGCCTGTGGCCCCTTACTCTGTCATCGCCTGCGGACTGGCTGTGTGGCTTAGGCCAGATGCCTCCCCCTCTCTGGTCCCACAGCTGTCTGTTGTCTGGGCACCTTTGAGGTCGGGTCAGAAGCTGCACCTTCTCGTGCCTGCCCCGACCCCTGACCTCTGACCTCTCTTTCAGCGCCTTCCGCCGTGTCCATCATGCACCAGGTGAGCCGCACCGTGGACAGCATCACCCTGTCGTGGTCCCAGCCCGACCAGCCCAACGGTGTCATCCTGGATTATGAGCTGCAGTACTATGAGAAGGTACCTGTGTTCCTGGGTGCTCCCCCCACCCCCACCTCATGCAGGGACCCCCCTCCCCCAGGCTGGTGTCTGGGCTTCTACCATCCAGCCAGACCAGGCAGGGCGGTGAAGCAGAAAGAGCCCTGGCCTCAGCTCTGCTCCTCCCCAGCTGTGAGACCTCAGGCGGGTGCCTTGGCTTCTCTGAGTCTTGCTTCTCTGGTCCTAGGCATCAGGCCACAGTCTCAGTAAAACGCAGTGGTCATGGCTTTTCCCTACCGAGACCCCTTTCAGCTGGACCCTGAAGGGCCTGGTGTTCTGAAAACTGGTTTTCCCAAAAGCCGCATTTCTGACATTCTGATTAGTGGTGTATGCATTCTGAAGCAGAGATTTGAAACTGCTCGAGAGAGCTTCCATACAGGGGGAGAGAACGGAGCCTCCAACCCACGTGGCTCTGATTCCAGGTAAAACACCTGTCTGCATTTGCCCGAGTGCCCTTTGTATGGGGACAGGGATCTCTCTTAGAGCTTTTAAATCAGACCCCCATGACTCCCTCGGGGACCCAGGGTTGGAAGCCACTGGTGTCAAAGAAAGAGCTCTGGACAAGGAATGAGAAACTGTAGGTTCAAACCGCAGCTCCATCCCTAACCAGCTGTGTGTGACCTTGAGCAGGCATCTTTCTCTCTCTGAGCCTCCGTTTCCTCTCATGTCAAATACAAATGAGACCACCTTTCTCGGGTGGGGCTGGGGGGGTCGATGTGCAGGTGAAGGAGAAGAGGCAGGTGTGGTGCCCAGCATGGTCTGGCCCTCAGCAGAGAGGAGTATGCTTTCCCTTCCTCCCTTCCCTGACCTGTGTGCCTCTCGGTGAGCAAGGGCTATGTGACGTAAGACCAGGTGAGCTCCGCACATCTGAATGTGCAGGCTGCCCAGTACAGAGTCGGCGGGGGACAGAGCAGCTGACCATCAGAGGCCCGGGGAACTCTTGACTGACGGCTTTTTCACCTGCTCCCTGAGGCCGTCCCAGGGAGCCACAGAGACCGCCGCTGAGAAGGGGGTCACTGAGCCCTCATTCAGACTAAGGTGTAAATGACTATAGGACGTGCATCAGGTAAGGGTAAGCCAACTGAAAAACAGAAAAGGATGGAAAGGCTTTCCCTGACTGAGAGGGAGAGGGGTGGAGGCAGTTCCAGCCAGCCTGGCTGGAGCCCCGCCTTCTGAGGCCCCGCCCAGCCCTTCCACTCCGTTAACTCCTGGCTCAGCTGAACTCTGGTGAGTCTCTGAGGTTCAGCCAACACCTGTCCAGCCTCACCCAGCTGGCTTGTGATCGTTTCCTTGCTCATCCGCTCCTCGCAGCAGTGCATTCCAAGAGACCAGGGACCACAACTGTCCTGTTCACCACGTTCTCCCAGGGCCCTGGGGCTGCCTCCAAGGAGACACTTGATAAATGTTGGGCAAATGAGCAAGTGAGTTCCTTCCTTCCTGCAGTCTTGGTGGAGGGTGGAGTCCTTGCCTTGTCTCTGCCATGACCCCCGCCTGGCACACAGTAGGCACTCCAGGTGTTGTTGGTTGGCCTGAGCCCAGATGATGGGAGGCAATCAGCTTCTCCCTCACTGCATCATGGAGAGGCTTGAGGGAGCTGGGCACCCAGCTCCCAGGGTGGTTGGACAAACTACTCTCAGGCCCAGGAAGCCCCTGGCTTTGCAGAAGCCAGTCTTCCCACCCCCTCTGGCAGGGATAGCTTAGCAGCCCAGAATTTTAAAAAAAAAAAAACTAATTAAGAAGCTTTATGATTAAATGAAACTGAAAGTGTTTGTCCCCAAAGACGGGAGCGGAAATGAGAAATCCCAGTGCAGGTCCTGCCTACGACCCATTTCCTACCGAGACGGGAGGGGCTAGGGAGGCTGACGGAGGTATGAACCCGAGGCAGCCCTGCCCTACTTTCTGCCACTGCCCATGCATCCCCAGGCCTCTGCCAGGGGTGCAGGACCAGCAGGCCCTGCAGCCGCCACAGTTATCACCTGCTCACCTTTCCTTCGCACTCACTATGTGCTGAGCATATCACCTCTGGCAACCCCATTCCTCCTCGCAGCAGTGCTATTCATCCCATTAGACGGGAGGGAAAACTGAGGCAAGAAGTTGTGTGAGTGTCCAAGAGTGCCCAGCTGCTAAGTGGCAGAGCAAGGATTTGACGCTCTGCTCTTACTCTTCACCTGGCCCTCCTGCCTCCCAGCTTTCTCCCAGAGATCTTCTAGGATGACTGTTAAGAGGTGGATGGGACCAGACTCTGATGGAGAATTCTAGGCACAAGTGATGGGAGCGGGGCAGACCGGAGGTACAGCTGTCAGCCCCTCCTCCCAGGGCCTGGGTGCAGAAAGAGGCAGCTTGGATCTGCCAACGGGGAGATAGACATCGGTTCACTCAGCATTCACTGTCATGAGCTTTGGACTGGGCCCTGAGCTGGATGCTGGGTTTATGCAGAGTAACCAAGCTTGCCTGGAGACCTGAAGACTTCACAGTTCAGTTCATTTCAGTCACTCAGTTGTGTCTGACTCTGCGACCCCAAAAAGCAGCACGCCAGGCCTCCCTGTCCATCACCAACTCGCGGACTTACCCAAACTCATGTCCATTGAGTCAGTGATGCCATCCAACCATCTCATCTTCTGTGGCCCCCTTCTCCCACCTCCAATCTTTCCCAACATCAGGGTCTTTCCAAATGAGTCAGCTCTTCATATCAGGTGGCCAAAGTATTGGAGATTCAGCTTCAACATCAGTCCTTCCAATGAACACCTAGGACTGATCTCCTTTAGGATGGACTGGTTGGATTTCCTTGCAGTCCAAGGGACTCTCAAGAGTCTTCTCCAACACCATAGTTCAAAAGCATCAATTCTTTGCTGCTCAGCTTTCTTTACAGTCCAACCCTCACATCCATACATGACCACTGAAAAAACCACAGCCTTGACTAGATGGACCTTTGTTGGCAAAGTAATGTCTCTGCTTTTTAATATGCTGTCTAGGTTGGTCATAACTTTCCTTCCAAGGAATAAGCGTCTTTTAATTTCATGGCTGCAGTCACCATCTGCAGTGATTTTGGAGCCCAAAAAAATAAAGTCAGCCACTGTTTCCACTGTTTCCCCGTCTATTTGCCATGAAGTGATGGGACCAGATGCCATGATCTTAGTTTTCTGAATGTTGAGCTTTAAGCCAACTTTTTCACTCTCCTCTTTCACTTTCATCAAGAGGCTCTTTAGTTCCTCTTCACTTTCTGCCATAAGAGTGGTGTCATCTGCATATCTGAGATTATTGATATTTCTCCCAGCAATCTTGATTCCAGCTTGTGCTTCTTCCAGCCCAGCGTTTCTCATGATGTACTCCGCATATAAGTTAAAGAAGCAGGGTGATAATACACAGCCTTGACATACTCCTTTTCCTATTTGGAACCAATCTGTTGTTCCATGTCCAGTTCTAACTGAGTTGTGGATGTGACTGGAGATGAAAGACTTCACAGTCCAGGGGAAAAGACAGGTTCAGACACAGTCATTAGACAAGATGTGATACAAGCCACAGAAAAGCCAGCAACGTTTTCGGGGGGCACCAAGGAAATACCCATAATTCTGGCATGGATGAGAGGAAGTCTTCATTTAAGTGACAGTTGAGCAGAACCGTGAAAGATGCTAGGAGTTCACTAGACAGACCAGTGATGAGGGTGGGGTTTTTCTGGACAACAAGAACAGCCTGTGCAAAGGCCCCAGGGCAGGAATGTGCTAGCTGACTTCAGAGAGCAAATAAGAGTGTGGAAGAGCCACAGGAACAAGGGAGAGATCAGTGGGGGAGGAGCTTGGGGAGGGAGGCGGGTTGGGTTGTGGTGGGTCTTCCAGGCCTTTAGGGTCTGGATTCAATTTGATAGAGTCTGATAGGAAGCCATCAGGAGATTTTGGAATGATGTGATCTGATTCATATTGCTTTAAAGATTCCTATAACTTGCCACATGGAGAATAGACTGCAAGGGGGTCCCAGGGACACAGGTAGACCCAGCACAGGGTTCTCATGGGATACCAAGTGGGAAATGAGTGTGGCGTGGAGTTGGAGGGCTGGCAGCAGAGATGCGAGGAGCTGACCAATTCAACCAGTATTTTGGAACTCAGAGGACCAGGGAAGCGTGAAGGATGACTCCTGGTGGATGGTGGTGCCTTTGCCTTGGGACAGATGTAGGTTGTGTGATTGGCAGGTGTAGGTTCGGTACTTGCCAGGGGTATGTGTGCTTAGCTGCTGTCGTGTCTGACCCTTTGCGACCCCATGGACTGTAGCCTGCCAGGCTCCTCTGTCCATGGAATTTTCCAGGCAAGAATCCTGGAGCGGGTTGCCATTTCCTCCTCCAGGGGATCTTCCCGACCCAGGGGTTGAACCTGCATCTCTTGCGTCTCCTGCATTGGCAGGAGGATTCTTGGCCAGCGGTAGGGAGGAGTAGTCAAGAACAGACAAGTGTGCAGAGGACACGGAAGTGAAAGGTTAGGATCCAGGAGAGTGGCAGGGTTTAAGGAGAGAAAGAAAAAGTTGTAGATGAACGTCTCATTGGAGACACCAGCAGAGGAGGGGTAGGAGGAGAATCCAGAATGGTTTCTGCCCCGCGCCCTCAGGCAGGGCTGTGACATCCCCGCACCACCTCTGCCTTCCCGAACCAGCCCCACTTGGCGAGGCGCGGCCAGGCTGCTGGTGGGGAGATTTATTTCTAGGTAAGCCGGCTCTCACCAGCACTTTAGAGTCCTTCTAGTGCCTGCCATCGATTTCTTTAATGAGTGCTCCAGATCCTCCCAGGTAGGGAAGTCCGAACCGAGCCCTGCCGTCTGTGTAGGTCCCCCAGCCTTCCCGCTCCTCCCGGCCTTCTTCAGAGAGGGCGCTTTTGGAGCGGGTTCTCACTTGGCCTTTCCCCATCTCCACGGGGATTTGGAGCCCGGAGCTGACAACCGCTTTGCAGGAAGGCTTCTGGATGCCGCTGACGAATGGCGATGGCCAGACCCGGGCGGGCCGCTCCCATTGGCTCCGGCATCCCAGGGGAGGTGGCCTCCTTTGGCAGCCGCCCCAAAGCACACAGGTTCACACTCCCCTCGGCTCCCCCAAGAGCTCAAGAAGAGTCATTGGTGAGGCGGATGGGCCCGCGTAGGCCACATCAATTTATGTGTTTATTCAACAGAAAGTTCTACTTGGCAGAAGTGGAAGGGAAGGATATTCCAGAGAGAGGGAGCAAAGCCTGGGGGAGGAGGGGGTGAACTATGAAAGGCCAGGCTGCATTCAGGTTGTTGCCGAGTGTACGTGGAGCAGTAGTGACATGGAGATGCTTGTCGTTCATCCACTCACTTTTGCATGCATTCATTCATTTAATGAACATTGGTGAAGGCTTATTCTATCACGTGTTGATGATAACCATGATGGCGGTAGCCTCCGTTTACTATTTTTTGTGTGTTAGTGGTTGTTGTTCAGTTGTCAAGATGTGTCCAACTCTTTCCGACCCGGTGGACTACAGCATGCCAGGCTTCTCTGTCCCAAGTTCATGTCTGCTGAATCGGTGATGTCATCCAACCATCTCATCCTCTGTCACCCTCTTCTCCTCCTGCCCTCAATCTTTCCCAGCAATCAGGGTATTTTCCAATGAGTCAGTTCTTTGCATCAGGTGGGCAAAGTATTGGAACTTCAGCTTCAGCATCAGTCCTTCCAGTGAGTATTCAGGGTTGATTTCCTTTAAGATTAACTGTTTTGATCTCCTTTCTGTCCAAGTGACTCTCAAGTAGGTCTTCACCAGCACCACAGTTCGAAAGTGTCAATTCTTCGGCGTTCTACATTCTTTATGATCTAACTCTTGCATCTGTATATGACTACCGGAAAGACAATAGGCTTATCTATGCTAAAAGTTTTGCCCATTTTTTTCCGATTAAACTTCCACAGCCACTCTGTATGGTATATAGTGGTGTTATTCCACTTTAGAGATGAGAACGCTGAGACTGAGAGGGCTTAATAAATGCACCCATGCCTCATTGGCCCACTGTGTAAGGCCTCAAACGAAGCGCTAGTGAATTCCATACTAAATTTCTTCCCATAATCCATCATTGCTTAATCTTTATTCAGATAATGGGACTTCAAAGAGAGAGAAAAAAGAGAGTGGGGAGAGGGGAGGAAACTGATGGCTCTAGGCAGCATCCCCAGTGTGCCAAGCACTGCCTGATCAGATTTTATCTTCACAACAACCCTGAAGAATTGGCATTTATTGCTCCATTTTCCGGAATAGAAAACAGGGACTCAGAGAAGTGAAGGGTTTTTCCCAAGTTTATAATGCAAAGCAGTGGGAGAACTGGCATCTGAAATGACTTCCAGGGCACTGGAATGACTTTGCATGGCTCGGACAGTAAAGAATCTGTCTGCAATGCAGGAGACGCGGGATGGATCCCTGGGTCGGGAAGATCCTCTGGAGGAGGACATGGCAACCCACTCCAGTATTCTTGCCTGGAAAGTTCCACGGACAGAGGAGCCTGGCGGGCTACAGTCCACGGAGTTGCAAAGAGTCGGACACGAAGAGCAACTAACTCACATACCAATCCCCTGCTCAGTCCTGTGTCTGGTTTTAGAGACGGGACCCACTCAGGTGGTGCCTCAGCTTCCCAAGGCAACTCTGCCTCTAGCAGCTTCCTCCCATCTACCTCACAGAATCAAAAACTTCTAGCCTCTCTTAAGTGGGGGACTCACCTAGTATGCAGAATCCAAGCCCCTTTTTCGAGCCTGAGCCCATCCCGTGTTGGACAGCGGCACCTACTGGCCAAATCTGGTACTGCTCCCTAAATTCCGCAAGTGAATAGTCTTAACAGTTTAATATTCATTCATTCATTCATTACGTCAGTACTTAGTGAGCACATACTGTGTGCCCAGCCTGAGGGTCCCAGAGATGAGCCAGACAAGATCTATGCCCCAGAGACCCCACAGACTTTAGAGAAGACACGTTTATATCAGAACGATGGGTAGGAGAGGAGACAATGGACCTGCAGTCTCTGACTGGGACATTGGAGGGCTCCCAGGTTTCCGGTAGCTTAGTTGGTAAAGAATCCACCTGCAATGAAGGAGACCCCGATTCAATTCCTGGGTCGGAAAGATCCTCTGGAGAAGGGATAGCCTACCCACTCCAATATTCTTAGGCTTTCCTTTTGGCTCAGCTGGTAAAGAATCTGCCCGTGATGCAGGAGACCTGGGTTCAATCCCTGGATGGGGAAGATCCCCTGGAGAAGGGAAAGGCTACCCATTCCAGTATTCTGGCCTGGATAATTCCGTGGACACAGTCCATGGGGTCATAAAAAGTCAGACACGACTGAGCGGCTTTCACTTCCACTTTCCCCAGCCAAGGTAGTAACTGTGTTGAGTCTTGAATGATAAGTAAGAGAACTGCCTGACAAATGAGGAAAGTGTAGTTCAGATGGACAACAGCACTTGCAAAGGCTCGGGGTGTCCAAGGAAGGTCAGATTGGCAAATTTATTTGGCAATACAGGACACCAGGTTACATTTGAATTTTCTTTTAATGTTTTGGTATACCTCAAAGAATGCACAGGACATACTTATCCTAAAAATTAGTCATTGTTTAGCTGAAATCCAGATTTAGCTGAGCATTCTGTTTTGTTTTGTTTTGTTTTTCTAAATCTGGCAACCCCAGCAGGGAAAGGGGAAGCAGCTACATATGTCTGGAGCCTGGAGGACCCTGGGGATGTGGCAGGAGAGACCAGCAAAAGCCGAGTCATGGAAAGTCTAGAATTGGGGAAGGACTCTGCATGCAGGCCCCTGTGCCTGGTCCAGGGGAACAAAACACAGTCCCTTCCCTCCGGAACTTACAGTCAAGGGAGTGAGATTAAGCCTGGGCCCAGGGCACTGGAACACGGCCAAAACCCCCTCCTGTGGTACCAACAGCAAGTGCTCCAGGGCTCAGAAGAGGGGAGACACATCTGGCTGGGAAATCAAGGAGGCTTCCTGAAGGAGGGGGCCGGCAATCTGGTGGGGGTAAAGAGACTTCCTATCTGCTGCTGCTCCCACATCCCAAGCTTTTTCGTACCTCCTTGCCTTTGTACCTACTGCTACTTTCCAGGACCACCCTCCCCCTTCTTTGCTTGGGTGACTTGTATTTATTAAGATTCCACTTCAGTTCCCCCCACTCGTCAAGACACTTTCCATGGCTTCATCTGCTATCCCCAACCCAGGCCAGGCCACACGCCCTTGGTCTCACTGTGCTTACCCTACCCGTGTAAGCCTTTCATACGTATCAATTCATTTCTTTCTCTAAACAGTCCTTTGAGGTAGCTATTATGATTATCGTCCCCATAATACAGATGAAGTAAAGGAGGCAGAGAGGTTAAGAACCTTGCCCAAGATCACAAGTCATAGAGTCAGGATTTGAACCCAGATAGTCTGGCTCCAGTTCATTGTTTTAACCTCTATACTGTAATAACACTGTAATTACAGTGTAGTTGTATAATTACATAATAGGATAGTAGCTACAATTATTATCTATAATAACATGCCCACACTGAATTTGTTGCATGAACATTTTTAAGGGCTCTGTGTACCCAGATATATACATGACTAATATGTACACTCAGGCACACATTTTTCTACATAAAGGTTCATAGCTTTTCATTAGTTTCTCAAAGAGGTTCATGATCCTCCAAGTGTTAAGACCTCCACACCATTTGCTTTACTAAACTGACCTCCCCAAGGAGGCCAGGGCTTGTGCTTTACCCACTAGGGGCCCCTAGTGCCCAACTCAGGGTCCAATGCAAAGCGGGTATGTAGGGAGGGTTTTCTGGGGAGCTGACAGATACCAGAACAAGCACCATCTAGCCTGGTAAACATCTGCCTCAACTCAAGCACTTCTCCATTCCCAGTGCACCAGCTGGATCTTTGTCTAGTCCCAGACTCCTCAGGTCACCCTGGGCAGTGCTCAGATCAGAATTGGCATTCTGCATCTGTCAAAGGAGGGAACATCATCAGGTCCTGGATATCCAAAGGCATGCATATGTGAGGTGGTTCCATGCAGGAACCTGGTTTTGACTCCTAAGGCAGCCACCAACTGATATATGTGACCCTGAGCATCATTTCCCCTTTCTGGGTCTTAATTCTTGCCTCACTCAAATATGCTGAGGCTGAATGGGGGTCCTTCCACTTAGTCCACTGAGGCATGGGGCAAAGAGGGGGATGCAGAAGTGAATAAGGTGGACCCTCTGCCCGCTGTCTCTAAGAACTCACAGCCTCATCTTCAGGGTCTGCACACGGTGGCCTCTCAGTCCATGTGTATCAGTCAGCTATTATTGAGATGATGCTGCAGAACAAGCAGTCCCAACAACCCAGCAGCTTTGCAAGAAGTGGCTGCTTTTCCTGCTCGTAGGTTTTTGTCTTTGGGTCAACCGAGGTGGGGCTGTTTCAGCCTAGGAGTTAGGTCAAGGTCCTCTTCACATGTTTCCCCTTCTGGCACAAGCGGTTACCCAAGTTAAGCCTCACCATGACAGGTGGCAGAAGCCCAGGAGACCGAGTCAAATCAACAAGTGTCTGCAAAACCCCTACTTGCATTACGTCCTCTAGCATATTCCAGCAGCAAACCAAGTCACAGGAACAAACTCACCATCTGTGAGGCAAAGAAATACATTCTCCCTTCTTTTGTGGGAAGTGTTGCAAATCATATGCCGAAGATGCAGGTCTGTCATTCTGTTATAGGGAAGGAGTGAAGAATTTGGAGCTCCAGAATTTGTCCAGTAGCCAGACCTGCCCCAAGCGGCAGGAGGAGGTGCTGGACTCTGGGCACAGCCTCACTAACTGTTTTCTCTGTTCCTCGGCAGGAGCTGAGCGAGTACAATGCCACAGCCATAAAGAGCCCCACCAACACGGTCACTGTGCAGGGCCTCAAAGCCGGCGCCATCTATGTCTTCCAGGTGCGGGCACGCACCGTGGCAGGCTACGGGCGCTACAGTGGCAAGATGTATTTCCAGACCATGACCGAAGGTAAGCGGGGCAGAGCGCAGCAGGAGGGCATTGGCCCTGCAAACAGAACAAGGGCCACCGCTTCTGTAAAGTGCCTTTCTGCAGATTAGAAAAGGCTCCTTCCCCTTCTAGATGTCAATTCTCCCTCCATCCTGGGTGAGAACCTTCGTGCACTGTACAAACTGCATGGCCACATATGCAGGCATTGTTTCTGTGGCCCAGACAGGATGTGGACTCCTCTGTTACCATCATGTCCTTTCCCAAGATCCTTGGGAGCCCAGCCCCAACTTGCAAAGCTACTCTGAGCAAGCCACTTCCATTCCCGGTCCAGTTTCTCCTCATCTATAAAAATCAAAGTCTTATATTCCATCTGAGAGAGCAAACGTATCTTAGCCATACATCACTCCAATGACATGCGGTCGGATTGAGAAGAATTCTGAAGCGACATCGGAACTCAACAGGGAGAAGTGCTGGGATGGATTAGTAATGTCTCCCCTGAAGTTGCAGCCCATGTGTTTTGTGTGTCTGAGTCTGGGACCACATGGTCTCTAAGCACCCTTCTTGCTCCAGTAATCATTGAGAAGCCGCATAGTTAAAGAATGCAGGCTCTAATGCCTGATAGATGGAAATTACAGTGCTGATTCAGCTCTAGCTGTGTGGTCCTGAGTAACTCATCTTGCCTCTCTGAGCCTCAATTTTCCCATTTATAAATGGGGATGATGACAGCTAACTCATTATCATCATCATCATGAAACTAGTGTCAGGAAGTGGGTAAATGTACAGGCCCTAGCATAGGGTTGGCATTCAGTCTCATGTGGTTAGTGCTCACCAAATAGAGTTAAGGTCATAATTTTCATTGCTGTGAGTCTGGGGGCCTTTTCCCCAACCAGTCAAACTCCAGAGCAGAATATTTATGACCAGACTGCAGCATCCCTTCTTAGCATCTGCTTCATCCACTGGACAGAGGCCTCAGCTTTTGCTGAGTTAAACATTTCAGGGGGCCCCTGGACCCCTGAATTCTTGTCTTATCACAAAAATCGTCCCCTATAGCTCCACCACCATTCCTAGTACTCAGCTCCTCTGTAAAATCCCCCTTCCTTATGGCCAGTTTTTCACCTCTCTAGGTCCTCTTGTGTGTTGGTTGAGGGTCACTGACCTGGGGACTGGGGGACTGTCCCAAGATCTTTATTAATTCAACACATATGTGCTTGTGATAAGGACCCAGAAATGACCTAGTCCCTGACTTCAACAAGCTCCTGCCTGGGTCTGGAGGCAATGAGAAGTAGTAAAAATAAAATGGTAAATAATGAAGATCTTGACGCCATTGAGATTGCACTGAGGGGTTTCCAAGAGCCGGGGCCAATGCTGAGTGCATTTTGCACATTATCTTGCTTAAGCCCATGGCCTTGGGTTAAACAGACCTGGGTTCAAATGTTGGCAGTGGCCACTGTCTAACTGTGTAAACTTAGGCAAGTCACGATTTTCCTAAGCCTCAGTTTTCTGATCTGATAAATGGGATGATTACAGATAGTACATCATAGACCTGTTCTGAGAATCACACAAGGTACATACCTACCCATGGTAGCCTCTTGAAACACTTAAAAACAATAATAGTTAATATTTACTGAGTACTTACTATGTTCTACAAGTTGCTCTAAGTGGGCTTTTTATTCTTTTTTTTTAGTGTATTTATTTATTTTGGGCTGGGTCTTTGTTGGTGCAGTCGGGACTTCTCCAGTTGCAGCAAACTGGTGGCTACTGTTTACTGCTGTGTGCGGGCTTCTCGCTGCAGTGGCTTCCCTAGTTGCGGGGCACGATCTCTAGAGTGTGCAGGCTCAGGAGTGGTGGTGCACAGGCTTGGCTGCCCTGTGGCATGTGGGACCTTCCCACACCAGGGATCAAACGCATGTCCCCTGCATTGGCAGGCACATTCTTTACCGCTGGACCACCAGGGAAGTCCCACTCTAAGTGTTTTACACAAAAATCCTATGATGGGAGCTATTATCCTCCCCACTATCAGTCAGTATCAGTTCAGTCACTCAGTCGTGTCCGACTCTCTGCGACCCCATGGACTGCAGCACGCCAGGCTTCCCTGTCCATCACCAACTCCCAGAGCTTACTCAAATTTATGTCCGTTGAGTTGGTGATGTCATCCAACCATCTCATCCTCTGTGGTCCCCTTCTCCTCCCGCCTTCAATCAGCATCAGGGTCTTTTCCAATGGGTCAGTTCTTCGCATCAGGTGGCCAAAGTATTGGAGTTTCAGCTTCAGCATCAGTCCCTCCAATGAATATTCAGAACTAATTTCCTTTAGGATGGACTGGTTGGATCTCCTTGCAGTCCAGAGGACTCTTAAGAGTCTTCCCAACACCACAGTTCAAAAGCATCAATTCTTCGGCACTCAGCTTTCTTTATAGTCCAACTCTCACATCCATACATGACTGCTGGAAAAACCATAGCTTTGACTACTTTATAGATGAGGAAACTGAGCCACAGAGATGTCACTTTACCAGAAATCACACAGATAGTAAATGGCACCATTGGGAGTGAAACCCAAGGAGTTCAGCTTGAGAGTCTGAGTTTTGCCCTGCCTCTGTATATGTATCAGCCTATTATTATTGATTTTCATATCTACATTGAGATGTAGGCATTATTATGCCCATTTTATGGATGAGAAGTTGAGTGTCGGAGCAGCTCACGGATTTGTCCAAGGTTACTCGTGAGGGAGTAACAGCCAGCTCTCCACCCGATGCTCGTCCGGAGTGGCAGAGTCTAGGGGTCCCAGGAGACCCGGGGCAGTGGGGATGCAGGGGGTTATGACTCCCCGAGCCAGGCTGAGACCAGCGCGCTGTGCTTCCTCTCCAGCCGAGTACCAGACCAGCATCCAGGAGAAGCTGCCACTCATCATTGGCTCCTCGGCGGCCGGCCTGGTCTTCCTCATCGCCGTGGTTGTCATCGCCATTGTGTGTAACAGGTGGGTGGTGTCCCCCTGCCTGGGCTGTCCATCCATTCTGCCATCCCTGAACAGGGTCTGTGACCAGAGGGGGCAGGAGGGGCTCGGGGAGGCCCAGAGACCCCCAAGTGACCTCCCACCGCCTAAACGGCCACAGTTGGCAGCCCATCCCTTTGGTCAGGTGTTGCCCTGGACAAGTCCACACTCTGCAGAGGTGGCTCACCGAGACGCTAATACTTCAGTACAAAGAGACAGCTCAGAACCGTGGGTGGGAAAGACTGCACGATGCAGGAGGCCAGGGGACTGGGGGAGGGTACAGATCGCCCCACTTTCTGCTCTAGCAAAAGCCCCTTCGTGAACAGGGCCAGAAGCAGGCTGAGGAGCTCAGCTGGCTGAGGTGGCTGGAAAGAGAGGAGACATAGAAGGACGAGGTGGGAAAAAGGGCATCCAAGTGACTGGCACTGGAAGTGCAAAGGCAAGCAGTGGGACTGGTTCCTGACTTCTGCTGGACTTAATGCAAAGACTGTCCCTTCTTCCTTAGAGCTTTCTACTTTATTTATTTTTGGCCACACTGAACGGCCTGCAGGATCTTATTTCCCCAACAGGGATCAAACCTGTGCCCCCTGCAGGCGGAAGGGCAGAGTTCTAACCACCAGACCACCAGGGAAGTCCCAAGAGCTTCCCGCTTTAGAACTAGGTCTTAAGGTCAGATGGACAGAAGCCTCTGGGTTTCTGGGACCAGGGGCCACCGCCAGAGATGCCTTTGCTCTTTGAAAGGGGCTTGGTTGGAGAGGAGACAAGCGAAACAGTGAGCCTAGACTTGAAGCTGGAGAAGTGGGAAGGGCTCAGGGCAGGGGGATCCACGGAGGGTGAGGCTGTTAGGCAAGGGGCTGGCAGGGAGTCCTCTGACAAGGAGATGGTTTCCAGGGCCTGCCCACTCTCTCCCTATCACCTGCTGTGGCTCCCATCTCCCTGGGCGCCTCCAGGTGGCTCCAGCCCTTTGCTCTTGTTCCAGAAGACGGGGGTTTGAACGTGCTGACTCGGAGTACACAGATAAGCTGCAACACTACACCAGCGGCCACAGTACGTATACCCCGGAGGGGCTGGCACCCTGGGATCCTTCCCTTGTCAGCTCCCCAGCAACCTCTCCAGCCTCCTTTCTCTGTCTGCCTCCTCCCTTGCTGCAGTCAGACTGAATGTTGAGCTGTTCCCTGAATGTGGACATGCTGTTCCTTCGGCCTGGCGCACTCTCCCCTCTCTTGCCCTGGCTAGCTCACTCTCTCAGGCTTCATCATGTACAAGCCCCTCTGAGAAGCTTTCCTTGATTCCCCCTCTACCCTGGGTGCACAGCGCCCCCTACCTGGCTGCATGGTGATGGTCGTCTCCCTGTCCCTCCACCATCATAGCGGGGGCACCTGGGGACCTGAAATCGTGCCTTGACAGTCACCACCGCCTCCCTGGTGTTAGCTGGCTGCCCAGCACGCCGAACAGATTGGCAGAATAAATATCGGGTATGCCAAAGTGTTCGTTCGGGTTTTTCCGTAAATGCTATAGAAAATGAAATTTTTGGCCAATGCAATACATGATCTGAGTGAGACAATGAGGACCCCAGGCTCTGACCATGGAGGGGAGAGAAGGGAGCCGGGAGGCCCGTTCCTGTGCCGCCCCGTGACTCCTTGGCTGCCCCTTCTCCACCAGCCCCCACCACGGTGCCCACGTTTAATTCACTGTCCCATGCCACCTTCGGCCACGGCTGGGGGCACATGTGCCAGACACACCCAGTGCAGATGTCTCCCCCCGGGGGCGCCAAGCAGAGAGAAGAAGAGAGTATAGATTCCTCTCCGTCTGATCTTGGCAGAACCAACCATCTGTGTGGGGGAGGGGAGATGTGGGTCCTCACTTTGGCTCACTTGGCAAACGGGAATTCCACGTGGGTCCCCTATAGGCTCTCAAGCTGTACTCAGTGGGGTACCCCAGGGCTTCTCAGATGGTCCCCAGTGAGGGGGTCATCCGCGCATCCCTTCAGTTGTCACATATGTTTTGTGGCCCGTTACGTACGTCAGGCTCTGCTCCAGGTGCTGGGGACACGCAAATAAGCAAACCCCATATTCCTGCCCTGGTGGAACTTACATTCTAGTGGGGGAGGGACAGTAAAACAGTTGCATTTAGAGTGGATAAATAACAAGGTCCCCATGGGTCAGGCAGGGAACTATACTCAATATCCTGTGATACACCATAGTGGAAAAGAATACAAAAAAAGAATGTATATATGTGTAAAACTGAGTCACTTTGCCGTACAGCAGAGATTGGTACAACATGGTAAATCAACTATACTTCAAAAAAAATAAGTGACAGGTATTTTTGAAATAAATACAAAATATTGATAAACTTTTAAAAATAAGGTTTACATCTTCTGCAACATTTTAAAAGAATTCTGGAGATTGGTTGTACATCAGTATGACTGTACTTAATACTACTGAACTGCAGGTTTTGAAATGGTTAAAATTGTGCAGTTTATATTATGCATATTTTACCACAATTTTTAAAAAGAATATAAAAAATCCTAGGAAATTTTTTAAAGATACAGCAATAAATGAGCAAAGTGTATGGTATATCAGAAAATGAAAGTGCTGTGGGAAAAAGCAAGGTAGAAAAGGGTGATTCAGAGCTGCAGGGGTTCAGTTTCAGTTCAGTCGTGTCCGACTCTTTGCGACCCCATGGACTGCAGCACGCCAGGCTTCCCTGTCCATCTCCAACTCTCAGAGCTTGCTCAAACTCATGTCCATTGAGTCAGTGATGCCATCCAACCATCTCATCCTGTCGTCCCCTTCTCCTCCTGCCTTCAACCTTTCCCAGCATCAGGGTCTTTTCCAATGAGTCAGTTCTTCACATCAGATGACCAAAGTATTGGAGCTTCAGCTTCAGCATCAGTCCTTCCAATGAATATTCAAGACTGATTTCTTTTAAGATTGACTGGTTTGATCTCCTTGAAGTCCAAGTGATTCTCAAGAGTCTTCTCCAACACTACAGTTCAAAAGCATCAATTCTTCAGTGCTCAGCTTGCTTTATAGTCCAACTCTCACATCCATACATGATTACTGGAAAAACCATAGCCTTGACTAGATGGACCTTTGTTGGCAAAGTAATGTCTCTGCTTTTTAATATGCTGTCTAAGTTGGTCATAGCTTTTCTTCCAAGGAGCAAGCGTCTTTTAATTTCATGGTTACAGTCACCATCTGCAGTGATTTTGGAGCCCAAAAAAGTAGTCTCTCACTGTTTCCATTTTTTCCCTATTTGCCATGAAGGGATGGGACCAGATGCCATGATCTTTGTTTTCTGAATGTTGACTTCTAAGCCAACTTTTTCTCTTTCCTCTTTCCCTTTCATCAAGAGGCTCTTTAGTTCTTCTTCACTTCTTCATTTTGCAATGCCAAAGAATGTTCAAACCACCGCACAATTGTACTCATCTCACACCCCAGCAAAGTAATGCTCAGAATTCTCCAAGCAGGAGTTAGAGCAGTGTTTTTAATGTTAATTTAGGAATACCACACTGGGTCTTTGTTGCTGCGCACAGGCTTTCTCTAGTTGCCAAGAGAGGGGCTACTCCCCAGCTGTGGTGTGTGGGCTCTAGGTCTCAAGGGCTTCAGGAGTTGCAGCACGTGGGCTCAGCAGTTGTGGCACATGGGCTTACTTGCCCCAGGGCATGTGGAATCTCCCTGGGCCAGGGATCGAACCTGTGTCCCCTGCAACGGTAGGCGGATTCTTAACCACTGGTGTACCAGGGAAATCCCAGAGCTATGTTTTTAAACAGGGTAGAAGGGGTTGGCCTCACTAAGAGGCTTCCTTTGAACTAAGGTGCAGAGGAGCTGGGGGATTGAGATGTGTAGAACCTGAGGGAAGAGCATCTCAGACAGAGGGACCAGCCTGTGCAAAGACCCTGAGGCCAGAACATGCCCGGCAGGTTCAGGAACAGGCAGGAGGCCAGTGTGGCTGGAACAGAGTGAGGGGTCAGGAGCGGGACGTGTGAGTGGCCACGACATGCAGATTCTTGTCAACCAGCGTAGGGCCTTGCGGGGTTTTTGTTTGTTTGGGCTGCACTGGGCTTGCAGGCTTTCTCTAGCTGTGGCAAGTGGAGGCTGCTCTCTCGTCGCGGTGCGTGGGCTTCTCCTTGCAGTGACTTCTCTTGTTGCTGAGCGTGGGCTCTTGGGCTCAGTCGTGGCGCACAAGCTGAGTTGCCCTGCAGCATGTAGAATCTTCCCGGACCAGGGATCGAACTCGTGTCCCCTGCAATGGCAGGCGGATTCTTAACCACTGGACCACCAGGGAAGTCCAGGCCTTGGTTTTTATTCTGAGTGAAATGAGAAGCCTCTGGAAGGGTCTAAGGAAAAGACAGACATGCTCGGAATTATGGTTTTCACACGTATGGTTTTCTCTGGCTGCCCTGTGGAACATGGACTGGTCGGTGCCCGGCAGGGACGGAGCAGGGACTGGGAGGTGGCTGTTGGGATAATCCAGGGAAGATGGGATGGTGCTGGACCAGGGTGGCAGCGGGGGAAGTGGGGACACACTTTGAAAGTAGAGCCACTGGATTCGCTGCAGCACTAGATACGGGGTATACGATAAAGAGCAGAGTCAAGTTCTTGATATTAAGCCTCTGTGAGAGTGTGTGTGTGTGTGTGTGTGTGTGTGTGCAGGCACACGCACACTTTGCTCAGTCATGTCCAACTCTTTGCAACCCCATGCACTGTAGCCCACCAGGCTCCTCTGTCCATGGAATTTTCCAGGCAAGAATATTGGCGTGGGTAGCCATTTCCTATTCTAGGGGATCTTCCCAACCCAGGGATCAAACCTGTGTCTCTTACGTCTCCTGCACTGGTAGGCAGATTCTTTACCACTGAGCCGCCTGGGAGGCCCCTCTGGGTAAGATTTAATTTGAAGTAAAAGTTCTTGAGCTTAAAAATCATTTTTAGACATCAATGTAAAAATAATTAAACCACTAAAATTTCCAGAAGACAATTTAGGTAACTATTTAATTGATACGTGGAGGGAAAAGCACTTTCTAAGCACAAAAGCAATGAGAGGATCATAAGACAAAAGTGGACAAATTTAACTACACAGAAATAAAAATCCACCTGTACGTTAAAAGTAAAACTCATAAATCCCATCGCCCCATCCTGTGCCCCAAGTAATGATATCATGATGGTAGATATAGCTAAACATAGTGTGTTCTATGGGCCAAGAGCTACTTTAATGCTCAACGTGTATTTCCTCATTTAATCCTGATAATTTCCCACTTTGAACATGAGGAACCAGGGCACAGAGAGTTCCCACAGTTGTGCAGGGCGAACACTGGTGTGCAAACACAATCTTGGCCACACTGTGCTACCTACACCCTTCTGAGTGAGACAGGCTCACGCCCTCCATCACCTGGAGCCATTTAGGAGCATCACTATTTAGAGCAGCAAGTCAGTAACAAGGGAACAGGTGGCAGTGGGGATTTATTTTAAAAATAGACTCCAGAATAGAACAGGTTGCTCATAAATCAACACATTCTCAAGCTCATGCTCCTACTCCCTGCATCTGAGCAGGATTTTGTTGTTTTGTTTTTTTCTCACAACACTGCCAGCCCCGTGATCAGATATCCACCAGCAACCCTGTGTGGCTGGGACAGAGGAGGAAGCTGAGGCCTGGGTATGTGTGTGACTGACCCAAGGTCACCCTCATGGGCTCGTGTTTTCCGTTGTCCAGCAAATGCTGAACGAATGCTGACGTCTAAGGTGCCCGGATGTGGAGCCAGAGGGACGCACCAGGTTTCTCCACCCTTCTTTGCTACTGGCCAGCTCGGTGACCTTGGAGAAGTCATCGGAAGCTCAGAAAGAACCACTCTGAGCCCTGGCATCCTTATGTGGGAAGTAGCAGGAATAAGGCTTCTTTCACAGAGTTATGAAGGTTAAATGAATTAATGGATATTAAAGTGCTTTGTAATAGTAATATTTAATAATAGCCAACTCTTCATGATAACAATTAATAATTATTCGGTGCTTTCTGGTTTCCAAATACTGAACAAAACCTTTTCAAAAGAT